AATGTTTTCTGCTGTCGATGCTGTTGTCATTAGGCATTTGTCAGATGCTGGTTGCTACATGTGTGTGCCAAAAAATACCTGTGAATAAACAAATACTATTTTTTATCTCAGATATGTATCGCGACCTCCTGTGGTAACAATAATGGGCCATGTTGACCATGGCAAGACCACTCTTCTCGATGCTCTGCGCAATAGCTCTATTGCCGCTGGAGAAGCAGGTGGAATTACACAACATATTGGAGCTTTCTTAGGTAAAGAACAATTTGGTAGAACAGTTTCGCACGTCTGTGAAAAGCTCAGTRCTGTAAAGCGTGCCTTGCTGTGACCATGTCTTTTTTCCTAGCTCATTGTTATTGGTTTGACAGTGCTGTGACCTTGGCATGACCTCATCTGCGAAATGTTTATGCCATGTTATGGATATTTGATTGGTGAAAGAGTGAATTCATCATATCCCTTGTCATTTCCGTGTTCATGTCCTGAGCTTTTCACAGTCATACAAAAACTGCTCTATCATCCATGTATTGACTATATTAGCTTTTCCTAGGTAGAGCAAAAGATCCACCATTTTCTATACATCACCTCACTTGTCAAACACAAAGCATTCGGTCAAGGTTGCAAGGTTCAAATTTGAATAATCCTTTGAAAGTACCTTGGCRCCTTGCTTGAACGCTTTGTGTTTGACCAATGAACCAATGTATGGAAAATGGTGAATAGATCAAGTAAGTTGGCATTGCAGTGCATTGTTAAACTGCTTTAGGGGATATATTTTCATAATGGTGTCTWTTTCGTTGCCAAAAACAGCCGCAAAATGCACTGCAAAACAACTCGATCCATTCTTTTACTTGATCTCCAAATTGCTAATACTCATACATTGTACCCAATCAAAATTTACTCAAATTCATGCTTTAACTTTAACTCATTTTAATTTTAGTTAAGCTACCTTCTGGAGAACAGATCACTTTTATCGACACCCCAGGTCATGCAGCCTTCAACTCCATGAGAGCAAGGGGTGCTAATGTAACAGATATTGTTGTACTTGTGGTAGCGGCAGATGATGGGGTGAAAACACAAACTGTCGAGTCTATCAGACATGCTGTGCATGCTAAAGGTAAGAAAAGGGGAATTAGGCTATGTTTGTTGTTTGCCTATAAATAATAGAATATTAATAGGATTAATGACGGTAATGGGGTTCTTGGAAATAATGGTAGTAGTCATGGTGATAATGACAATGATAGTGACAATGATTGAGGATGATAACTGATAATGGTAATTGATGCGGGTGATGAGGATGGTGATGATTATGATGGTGGTGATGATGATAATTGTGATGATGGGGATGGTGATGATTATGATGGTGGTGATGATGATAATGGTGATGATGGTGGTGATGATGGTGGTGGTGATGATGATAATGGTGATGATGGTGGTGATGATGATGGTGGTGATGATGATAATGGTGGTGATGATGATAATGGTGATGATGGTGGCGATGATGATGGCGATGATGATGGTGATGATGGTGGTGATGATGGTGGTGGTGGTGATGATAATGGTGGTGATGATGATGGTGGTGATGATGGTGGTGATGATGATGATGGTGGTGGTGGTGGTTGTGATGATGATGGTGATAATGATGATGGTGATGATGATTGATATTGGTAAGATCGTACTGGTGATGATGACAATGACACTGGTCATCGTGTTGGTGGTGATAAGGATGGCATTATGATAACTGGAATGGTGAGAAAGGTGGCACCGATGATAAGACACAAATTTCTTCTTAAAACTTGGTACAACTTTGATCTATTTTTGATATTTCAGTGCCGATAATTGTTGCCATAAACAAAACAGATAAACCAAAGAAGAATGTGGTAAGTCGAGATTACTGCGGTTTTCACTCTTCTGCAAGCTCAGGCGTTTCAACGGCTTGTTGTGAAAATATTTTTTTACTTTGCCATTCATACATGTAAATAAAAAAGGTACCAACTGGTTATTTGTATTTGATTTGTATCAAATTGGAAATTGGGAATTACTTATTGTTATGTCCTCTTGAGCTGCATTCCAACGTGTTGCAAGGGGTCTGTCTATTAACCACATTGTTTTCATCATTTTAGGATCTTTTGAAACGACAACTTCTTTCACATGGTATACAACTTGAAGAATATGGAGGTGATGTACAAGTGGTTGAGATTTCAGCTTTAAAAGTGAGTTCCTACTAGTCWAAAAATTTCATTCCTACATGTACGAAGTAGCGCGCAGCATTGATATCCGTGAAACAAAATAAATATAGTTAGAACTTAACACCACCAAAATAAAAKAAAAATAACATTAGGCGGATTTACAATTTACACAAAATAATATTGTTTACCAACTAAAAACATTTCCTTTTAAAGAAGCTTTTCAAACGGACTTGTGATCAACTCCATGTACTAAAAAAATTGCATCACATGAACATTTTATTTTCTTTTTTTTATAATCTAAATTTCTATTCTTCGTTGGCACGTTACGTCATCGCGGCCATGTTGGTAACATTTAACAAAAGATTTCTCATTAGCATCCATTGTTAACGGTACCACAATGGCCGCCATGTTTTTTTAACTTTTAACTCTCTTGGGAATGCTTGCAGCCATCAATATGAATTTATACATTTATTTATTGTAAACGCATAGAATTTTTTATATGCGTATAAAAACATTCTTTATTRTTATTCTTACCACTCAACTTTATTAATCACGCCAGAATATTAAACCTTRATTAGTTTCACGTGAAAATAAAGTGATGAAAGTATCAGGTGCACGACATAAAATTGGTAATGTTCTGGTTGAGTGATATTTACTATTTGTTGGTATATAAAAACAATTAGATAATACTATTTTGGGAATTTCGTTCTCTTATTTCTAGGGAAATTATGTTTAGTGTTGTTACAAAACTTAAGGCAAGGACGCATTTTATTGAACAGCGACGTGTCGGGGTCGTCATGACGCCATTATCAAGCTTACAGTAAATGWCTCAAAGGCGATAACTAATGTTTGTTACAACTTCAAAATGCCAGGCCAAATGATAAGCACACATTTATTCGATATTCTTATATTGTCATTGGGTCGTTTTCAAAATACTAGCTTCATTCTAAAACGAAGWGCATGGCTGGTCCGTTACGGCATGTCATATAGTGGACTTTACTGTAAGTCTGTACTCTCCATTTCACACTCATGCGAAAACTATTCTTATGGGAAGCCATTTCAATGTTACGGCATATCGTATCGTATAAATTCTGTAAGTCAGTACCCTACGTTTCCCACTCATGTGAAAGCCGCTCTATTGCACAATTAGGACTCACCATTTTATCAAAAGAGGTCTGCTAAAGTCTTTACAGTTAGCCATGTTTTACCTGTATCCAGTTAACGTGTGTGTTCGCTACCTTGACTGGTAACTAGACCGAAACCCCAGGGTTCCCAATACGTCCATTAGGACTTCAAAAGATAGACATGACGTCCTGAAGAAGTGTGCTCGCTCGATCTTTTTACACACTTTAACGCAATTCTCCAGATTTTCTTTCTCACCAATCATCTCGTATTATTCTCTCCACAGGGTACGAACCTGGACAGCCTAACGGAAGCAATCATAACACTGGCTGAAATCAATGACCTTAAGTCCAAAAAAGATGCCAACGTCGAAGGCGTGGTCATTGAGTCCAGGAAAGATAAGGGATTAGGGTAAGAAACGATGGAYGATCCTGACCCGTCGTCACATGTARGGAGAGGAATATAAATAAATTTATTGTTTCAACTTCAGGCCTGTGGTTACCGCTCTTGTACAACACGGGGTCATGACTAAAGGCAAAGTCCTTGTCGCTGGAACTACTTTTGCGAAGGTAACTTTCATTTTATCAAAATCTTGAAAATAGCATTTCTGGGAATGTCATATTGACATTTGATTCTGAAATTAATCTCGTGCTTCCAACTTAGAATACAAATGAAATTCGCCCCATTAGTGGCTTATTGAACCCGTAGCCTAATAGCACGAGGTCCCGTTAAATCGTATCCGGCTAGTTTTAAAARCAGAATATTCATRTGTTCGASTGAAGGTTCGTGTAACTTCAAAGTGTTTTTACTGTTTAAGTTGTGCATTATTTCTTTTACCGTTGGTATTTGTAAATATTTAGACACTGATACGAGGCAAACCCGGTATRTAGAGTCTGTAGTCRAGGAACACAGCGGTATTTGGCTAATCCGAAAAAGGTGCCAGTGCTGAAAATATATATTTTTTATTCCAAGGTGCGTCAGATGTATGATGACCGAGGTAAAGTGCTAGACGAAGCACCAGCCTCAACCCCAGTGCAGGTGACTGGATGGAAAGACCTACCATCAGCCGGAGAAAAGATTATACATGTTGAGACAGAGGTACGTCGGGAAATATATCCTCTTAGCTTGGACATAATGMTTACCCATTTCAGATCACCATTTCATTCACTAATGATAAGGATGATAAACACTTATGATTTAAGCGCCCTTGATATATATATTCACCTATTAACGTTGTCGTCGCCAAAGGCGATATGTGACAATTTATTCCGACATTGAATCATTCTCAACACTAATTTCCATGTT